ATAACCCCCCCCATTGTTCATTTTTTTTTTTTTTTTTGAGTAGTGGAAACACTCGGAAATAGCTCGTGCAGTAACTATCTGTTGAAAAGAACCTCGATAGCTCTTGTGAACTAGATATTTGATATATATATTTTGAACTAGATATTTGGTATATATAGATATAGATATATGGATATATATATATATATATCAAATACCTAGTTCAAAATAATTTAGAAATCGGTGTGAAATGCTCGAACTGAATTGCACCTAAAATTCAGTGCGATCATTGGTAAAAGTTCGTTTTAAGTCATAGGGGTGGCTACATGGGACGTTCTGCTAAAAGTGCGCTGTTTTCCTCATCTCCTGCTCTACCAGACCAGTATAAATAATTTCTCCGATATCAGCTTTGCGTGTGATAGATCACTTATCGTGCTGCAGCTGCCCTGTGTAGAAATGCCACACGCAACTTTTGTTTAGTTAACGAAAATGATTTCTTCCTTTTCGTTAAAAAAGTTTACCAATGCTAAGTACAGGAAAGGAGCTGCGCAGTTCAGATGAGTCCATTACCCGTGGCTGGTAGCGAGGGTCAGCTAAGTGATGTCGCCTGCTTTTTCAAATCCGAGTTTTGTGTATTTTTGACTTCAGATTTTCACAGAGTGAAACAGACTCTTTTGCAAAGCTTATCTTTTCCTCAATTTTGCGTACTTCAAAATTAGCTGCTACGTGGAGCATTCTCCTTACGTATGTGGCTACATTTTGTTTGATACGCAAACAATAGGCACATATCTAAAAGCCAGGAAGTGTATGCACGCCGCGCCAACAGTCGGCCGACCCTTATGGCCGTAACATTTTTGTCCGGAAACTCTAATGGCGGTGTTTTTTGTGCCCGGATGAATATAAATGTCGGCTTAGAGGGGTGCTCGCGAGATATCCAAAGCCTGCTACACAGAAAGACAATAATGGAACTAATGGAAGCCGCCATCGTCATCGCTGGTGTGAATTGTGTAATAATCCATACTATTTACTGCCAGGAAGAGGGATGATTGCATGATGAGCTGTGCTTCTGGCTATAGAGATGCTGCTCCTGCTGCTAATGGGTGTAATTTCCCTGATTTTTGCACTAAAATTACCCTTCACTGCATTTTTGGATATAACAGTTCTGCTTTTATGTGGCATCACACATATATTGATTTTTTTTGAGACATTTTTGTGATTTTTCACAGATTTTTCCGGCATTTTTTGAGCTTTTCCTGTCTTTTTTAGAATTTTAATTTTTTTTTTTTTGAATTAGTGCACATGAAAACTTAAAACGTTCTGCTGAGATTTTTGGTAGTCACATTTTTTTTTTGTGACCTGTTATTCATAGGATGTAAAGCCCTTTGCAGATAATTTAGCATACTGTATACAGTAGTATTAGCTGGGGAGATATTAGTTTTCTCGATGAAAGCGCTTCCTGTCATCCAATATAATTGAGGGATAGCTCACTGTCATTTGATCCGAAATGTTCTGTCAACACAGACGAGTAGCTTCTTTTTTGAAGTACAGTATGTTATTTCTTGAGGCGGTTTCCACCAAATATGCAACTTATATCGTTGGGGAAGCAAAATCTACAATTAGTAATAAAAAATGTGTCATTATTTTATTGGTTTCTCGTCCGCTGCTGTTGTCGAATACTGCAGTAATTATTATTATTACTGCTACTATTACAGTTATTATAACTAATGATAATACTTATTGTTTTACACAGTCGTTTGAATTACCGCCATTCTGAGTGCAGTTGTTTTGCTTACCTAGTGATCGTCTAAAAAATACAGTATATTGGTTTTCGTTGTGTCTTTTGAATAAATCTGCTGCTTGGAGAGGATGTGTACCGCGGTATTGGTCGAGTGTAGGGCGCGAAGCTGTTTGTGAGTGTTGTAATGTTGAAAGTTCTTGGCAGTTGGGCTGAATGACATACGGATTAGAGTTTAGGTTAACGTTACGTTTTTAATTCGGTGTATGTCGGCAGGAGATAACGCACTGTAGCGGTGGACTAATGGTGAAGTATAGTGCTGGGAATTAAGACATGTTGTTCATCTTTTTTTTCACTAGTTTTTATTCTCACACTAGCCCAATAGCTTTTATCAGCTGACTGATGAATGGTCACAACTTAAATAATTTTTAGACTTCCACGGTTTTGCATAAATGGCTAGAGCATGAATATTACAGCCTTAGTTTCTCTGATCGTATTAGTGCCGACGACTCAAACACATAATTATGCAAATCATTTTTTGGAGCTCCGTCCTAAATAACTTCCTCTTATAAAGGGAAAATTATTTCAAGTGGGGGAGCTTTACCACCTGTTTCCTGACCCTCTGCTCCTCTTGCTTTCCTTCGTCCCCTCCTCGTCCTGCTGCTGCTTGTTCAGAATTAGAGCAGAGAAGCACCACTCGACCTCTAACCCTCAAGTACTTCACTTGTGTAGCGCAGCCAGCAGCATATCAATAAATTATACCTTACGTTGCGTCAGGTTTCGATGCGACTGTAAGGGATTTAGATCACCATAATTTGGGGGCTTTACATTTTCCCTGTTCACGTATTAAGGTGTGGAAAATTGAAATCGCTATCCACAGCCACAGTATCTAGGATGACTAGAAAACCAAAATTCAGAAACTACAACTAATTCAGCTGAACACAGTAAACTTGGTTAAAATGTGATGCACCGAATTCCAAGGTCAGTGGTACCAGAAGAGTGAATGGAACACCTTAGGTGAATGGAGCACATATATATTGTATGATATATATATATATTTTGTTTCCTTGCTCGCCTGGCTTCCAAAGTCATCCCTTTGTCACAAATGTCTTTGAAGTGTCATTATGCGCGCTCTCGAAACCGTTTGTCCGATTTCGTCCTTTCCTCCATTCAAAAATTTATATGCTTTCTCTTAGGCGTCTGTACGCGAGACCCAAACATACATGAGCATTGATTTTAAAAGAAAAGTATAACAAAGCAGCGGGAATATGCTTCTAAAGTCTCAGCTTCCTATCCTCGCTAATCTTCGCACATGCACGCATATAGACGCCTAAGAGAAATGCACGCACCTGCACGCATATATTATATATGCATGCATGTGCGAAGATTAGCGAGGATCGGAAGCTGAGATTTTAGGAGCATATTCCCGCTGCTTTGTTATACTCTTTTTTTTAAAGCCAATGGTCATGTATATTTGGGCCTCGCGTACAGACGCCTAAGAGAAAGCATATAAATTTTTGAATGGAGAAAAAGACGAAATCGGACAAACGGTTTCGAGAGCGCGCATAATGACACTTCAAAGACATTTGTGGCAAAGGGATGACTTTGAAAGCCAGGCGAGCAAGGAAACAAAATTTACAATACTCATACCTGCTTACGAATAGAAAATTTTATATTTCTCTGAAATACAACTAGGCCTCATGTTATGCGCGGATTTCAGTTTTGGTAGTTTTGAAACCCGTTTACTTTGCAGACGGACCAAGCAGGACGTCGCTTTTTCACGAGGTATCTACTGTCCATGTCCAGGTCTAAAAAAACCCAGCTGGAACGCACCGAGCGGCGGGTGCGATTATGTGCTTTTGCACTATTTTATGCTGTAGCAAGATCGCAAGGAATCACAGTAACCAAAATTTGTGGCATATTGACCCTTGAAGTTTAGGAAGTTAACTCTACAGCTATGTGGTGTGTCAGTTGTAGATGTCGGCTTCAGTGACCCGACAAACCGGAAGTTGCTCGTGCTCAAAAAAAGCCACGCTAGAACAGTAGAATTTGAAATCTTTTAATCACATACGAGTAAGGAACACTCCCTTAAAATCCCAGCTTTCCAGCTTTTCTTGTTCCTGAATTGGCAGTTTTCTCGCCTTAATTTTCACATACCCGTACATGAGCCACGAGATGTCGTCAGAAGCTGAATTTGAAGCCTTTTGGTCATATGTGAGTGGGTAACATTCCTCTAAAGTTCCAGCTTTTCTAGCTTTTCTCATTCCCAAGTTAGCGTTTTTTCCGCTAAAACTTTCACATGTCCACATGAGACGTAGAGGCAGGAACACACTGGCAAAATTTTAGTTTCAAAGCTTGCGTAGTTGCTGAGTACAAACATCCGGACAGACGAACACACACACAGGGTCGCCGCAATATGCGTTTTGCTGCCTGTTGCAGCGCTTTTGCGCTCCTTCTCGTTGATCAGAAGGCCAACAAAGCAGAAATTTTATATGAGTGCTGGCTTGTATGTTATTGAAAGCGTAAAAACAACTTTCATAAATATGTCCTTTCATAAATGTATCACTGGGGTGCACATTGCTATGGGGGTTGTGGACTTGCTGTTTTGAAAGTTGCTTCGGTGTGTTTGGCCAACGATTCGGATGTTCTCAAATTTGGCATGGAGTAAAATGAGAACAAGAGGCATGTGAACTGCATTGTCAGTGCAGATGAGCATCGAAAATATATGCGTATTTTGCAGTTGGAGAAGGTTTGAGCGCGCTTTTGGATGCACTGAATGAAAATCTCAACGTTGAACTGGGTCAGGTGGTAGAATGCATCGAGTATGATTGTGAAGGTTGGCGAACTTTTTGCATTTGCTGTGCCGAGAGCAGGAACAGTGAAAGAAAATGTCAGGGTTATGAAAAGTACCCAGACAGACCATTATAATGTCCGTGTGGATTTTGAACATTCAAACGCGTATAAAAAGTAGAAGGTTCGTTTTTGAGCTTTCGTTACTGCAGTAAAACCATTACAGGAGTGGCAGTAACAAGCTCCGATGGTGAAGAGAAAACAGTTTATCATGCAGATGCTTGCTTGTGCACCATTCCGCTTGGTGTACTGAAAAGATCTGCACAGAACAAAGACAAAGCCCCGAGATTTGATCCTGCGTTGCCGCAGTGGAAAGTTGATGCCATTAATTCGATGGGTTTTGGACTGGTGAATAAGGTAACTCATTTGTGATATTATTTCCTATTTGAACGAAAGCCCTTTTGAAATTTCATCAAGATTGCCAAGGGCAGAAATGTTTGCGGAAAAGAGAAGGAATTGGCGGGGAAAGGAGACTGGGATGTGGGCCTTCCTCCAGTCTCACTGGGATTCAAGAAAATATCTTTTTTGCGGGGACGATAGCTGAAACGGACGTTCTTGTTGTAGCTTTACTTTTTGATGATCAAAGTAGGGGCAGAAGCAGATGGTAACATTTCGCACGCCTATTTTTCACTTCTTTCATCTTTTTGGTCGTTTTTTTGGCGCTATAGCAACGGCAGTCATCCAAAGATATCGACTTCATCCAGGAAGTTCTTGTGAGTCGGGCGAAATTCGATTTTGATTCCAAGATATTGGCCTTGTAGGTGACATCAAAACGAATGATAGACAGTGGTTTCGAGTCTCAGACAGTGAACAGCACAACCGTCGAAATTTTCGTCACGCAGAAGATCCCTTATAATAGTGTGTTCAGCATTCTTAGAAACGACATATAACAGCTTTTCTCACCGACAAATAAAGCTGAATTTGCAAGACGCAGAATTTGCATTCGTAGAAACTTGTGTTTAAATAACAAGTCTGTGTTGAGGTGCGTTTTCGCGCGTATCATCAGCAACTTTTGCTTACAAAGTTACCGAATTTTATAAAGTTTGAAATTCAAAACATTTAAGTAAATTTTGCGAATGCAATGCAAGCAGTCAGATTTCAGGTGGTCCTTGTCTTCGAGAAGCCGTTTTGGGAGAATGTTTCTTTGTTTGGATATATTCCCGAAACAGTGTCAGTTTTCAAATGCTTGTCGTATTTTTTAATATATTGACAAAAAAACCGATACAGAAGTTATGTTGGGCGAGTGCATTTGTCTGTCGAGCATTCCAAATTTAGAACTCCTTTCACTGGACGGCACAGTCTCTAACCGTTTTATATGTTCTGCGATATGATCTCCGGCCTAAATCAGGATTTTTTTGTAATTCGATAATAACTGTTTACTAGAAATTTTGCGGAAAAAGCAAATGAATTAGAGAGGCGTAGTTTTACTGGTCCTGCTGCATTCTGCTCTGCGATCTCAGGTCGTATTCACGTTTTTGAAAACGAAGCCACCCAGAGGTTCGAGGTTTTGGAAATTTGTGAATCGTAAATGAGTATGAAAACTTTAGCTAGGTACAACCGCGTTGTCATCCCCTTATGCGTCCTCCCAACAATTTTCCCAGCAACTGAAGGCAGAAGCTGTTTTCCGCGATGGGCGCGTTCGCTTGCCTTTTTCAAAAAATATAGGATCCTAGATCAGTGTTTAAATTCTCACATCACTCTCCAGATCTTGCTTTATGTTTTTCATCTGGAAGACTGCTTGATCAGTGCAGCTTTGGTCTACAGGGAATTCAGTGAGTATCCCGGCGCAGAACCCTCCCGAACTTCGGGAAGGGGACACATTGCATGCTTGCAACGTCTTTGTCCCTAAACTACACATTGTGTTTTGAAATGTAAAGCCTAATCCACAATAATAGTCTTCATAGCAGTGCAACTGCATTTTGCAGGGATAAAGCGAATCGTGGTGAGATGTTTCGGTTTCATGCGCTCGCTGATAAGCCGGTGTTGATTGGGCTGGTTTCGGGTGAAGCAGCATTTGCTCTAGAAGCAGTGCCCGATGAGGTCACCACTGCAAAGGCGATGAGCTTCCTGTTCAACATCTTCGGCCCGGCTTGCCCTCCAAAAGTGAGCCACCTTTCGTTGTTACGTGTTTTTCTACAGTTTCTCGCTATACACAGTGATAAACCACTCATGCTCCTGTGCACTAGCATACACGTTTGTCCCCCACGTGCAACTTGCAGCCGATACGCTTCTTCTGCTCAATTTAGTTCCAGTTACACCAGTTCAGCGATTTTCTGCGCATTGCCGTCCGCAGCCAGTTTTGATTTTAACGTTTGAGAGTTGTACTGAGTTCCCGAAAAATCGGCCATTCTTCGTTATTTTCGGAGCCACGACGGAAAATGATGTACTGCCATTATCAGCAGTTGCCGGAAATAGAGTGTTTGCTCGGAAGTGGCTAAATACGATGTCCCTAATGGCATTATTCATTTAAATTCACGCAGAGTATCGGTGCAGAAAACGAACTAAGCGCTACAATCACTAACAAGCTGATCACTAAGCAGCTGGAGAACTTTGCGTCTGCTTAGTTGGAGGACGGTACTATTAAAAAGTGTCTGATTAAAGTATCAGATGATTCCCTCATCGATCATTTAGCTCATTTTGTAGCACTACACTTTAAAAACCAGAATGGCCGATATACCTTTTAGACCGAAGGTTTCCGGCTCAATTCGCAAACAGTGTACATATTACAGATTTTTTTGTTTTTTTAAATGTTATAAACTTACACTATTGCCTTTTCAGCCTCTAGATGTGCATATAACACGTTGGAATATGGACAATTTTACCTATGGCGCTTTCAGCTTCGTTCCTCCAGGCTGCGATGGTAAGCAAATATTTGGTGCTTCCGAACTGAACTGCTTCTCCATGAAGTTTTAGAAAGTGAAAATACATGTTGTGATGTTACCATTTTTCAAATTTTTGTATTAATTGTTGCGGTAGATATGACTTCTGCTTCTGCAAAATTTCAGCAGGAACTTACGAAACACTTGCAAAGCCTTTGAAAGACAGTAATGGATGCGAACGCATTTTCTTCGCCGGAGAACATACCAATCGTCAACATCCTTC